CCGCCCGCCCCAGCCCCTGCTGCCTAAGCCCTGATTGTAGAGGTACAGGGCGGGAGTGGTCCTCATCACAGCCACCCCTCCCCGTTGTCCCCGCCGCTGCCCTTCTACCCCGGCGCGCGGCGCTACCCTCGCTCGGCCCCTGGGGGACCATTCGCAAATGACGTCACGCTGTCATTTCGTTTGGCGACTTTTGACTTCGTTTGCTCCCTCTCTTTTTTTGTATCCTCCTCCACCACGGGTCGGGGTCCGTCGCCGCATACTTACATTTTTCCTTTGATAAGAGCTTTGGTTGTGCTTGTTACGCGTCCCCGCCTCCTTGTGGTGCCCGAGGACTCCACTCTAATTAGCCCTCGCGAGGCTGCAGGCCACGTCGTGGTGACGACAGCGTGGTGCGCAATAAGGACACGCCGCGCCCGGCCTCGGACACGCGAAGGAGAGTAAATGCGCACCGCCAGTCTTGTGGTGTTGGACTCTGCAGCGCGGCCCTAGAGGTCCTAGAGTGGCGCGGAGCGCGACCCGACCCGCTCCAGCCACCACGCCCCGCTACGCCCCGCCACGAAGCTCGGAAAGCTCGTTTCAATGAACAAGGCGCGCGCCCTATCTCTGTCTCCTTCTCGCTCCATCCCTCCCTCCCCCTCCTGTGTGTCTCTCTCTCCTCTTTCTCTCTCTCCTCTTTCTCTCTCTCTCTCTTCCGCCCCTCTATTCCTCCTCTTGCACCATCCCTTCCTCCACTCCGTCTTCCCTTTTCTTCGCGGCATCCCGTGTTCCCTGCTCCATATTAGCATCCGAAACTGATTCCGTTGTGGGCGTGGCGGGCGGGGCTGGGGCCTTTTGGGGCGCTTGCTGCTGCTGCTACTGCTGCTAGGGGAGAGGGAGCGGAGGAGAATGCTATCGCCGCCACTGCTTTAAAAAATTCAGCCTGTGAGTGAGCGCAGGTGGACGCACTGTTCAGCCTCATCATAGTCGGCCGCGCGCTGTACCAGCCAGCGCCCCAGCGGGTGCAAGTGCAGCCACTGTGAAAAATATCTTCGAAAGTTTATAACATATTTCGTATTTACGGTTTACAGAATGTGTTGTAAATTTACGACATACTACAGCGACATACTTGCTTGTGAGTAAACGAAAATAAATGAAAAAAATGTACTCCAAGTTGATACATAGTGTTTGTAATTTTTATTTAATTTAAAGTTGTAGTTTTACAACACACATAATGGGAAATGTCCATGTAAACCCTACAAGATTTTCTCACAGTGAGCACAGTGCACGCCCGGCCGTGGCTCTACCCTAGGCGCGGGACGGAGTTGATGACTCGGCCCCGGAGAATGCGCGCCGGAGACCCGTGTGACGTGCGATAGCGGCGGGGGTGCCTTGCATCGCATGCCTGCCCCTCAGCCTGCCCACCCCCGCCCCTCCCATGTGCATGCTGCCCGTGAATCGCTCGCCCTGGTCCAGTGCTAGTAAGTACGGGCTTATCTGCTCGCATTCCGTTCGGCCGCGCCGAGCAGCGCCGAGCAGCGTTCGTGTTTGACGCCCCGGAGTGCCTGCCGGGGCTGGCGCTGAGCATTGTCCAGGGCGGGCGGGGGCCTCCCCATCCCTTCCCCTCCCCTCCCTCGGCACCCCTCATCCCCTCTCCCTCCCCTCTTCTCCCTTCGCTTGACGCGAGGGTGCGGGGCTCTTTTATATGGTACTCTGTCGCAAAAGAGGCGGAAAAACGGAGGGGGTGGGGTGGAGACTGGCGGGCATGTAATGTCAGAAGTTTTGCTGCTGCGGGACTGGCCAGGGAGAGAGAGAGAGAGAGAGAGAGAGAGATAGAGAAACAGAGAGAGGGAAAACTAAGGAGGATTTATCCAAGATACTATTTTCTTATAGCTCTCTGCCTCGTCCCAACACGCGTTAAAGGGGCAGCAATACGGGAGAGAGATGAGGGATGCGCGATAAAGGAGAGCGGGTGAACATCTAGCTAATGGGATGTCCTTTCGTTTGATCATGAAATTAAGGTGCTGCCTGTGAATGGCCTGCTCGGCGGCTCTGTGTATATACCAGCCCAGCTCGATCGGGCCGTCGGGCCGTAGTGTCTGCTCCTCTCCGAAAGAGATTTCTTTTCCTGTTTATTTTTCTTTGTAAAATGGATTGGGTCCGCTGGAAGCAGAGGTTTCGATTGAGTGCGTTTACAATGAATACCTCGCCCCCTTTTCCGTTTCTGAGTAAACGAGATTGTCTGTTTCGTGTACGCCTGTCTGCCTAACGCCTGGCCCCTAGTGCCAGAAGTTGTTACCACGCCAATATCAACTTTGAAAAAACTAAACTTTCAAAACCAAGTGTTATTCTTTGATTACTGCCACTTGCTTTGTGATACCGTCGATCGCGTCTTAAAGAGAAATTATTGACTCACATAATGAGAAAATATTTTTGCAAGGGTCTGTTGATCTCCATGCCGTCCCAGCACCCCTGCGCTCTAGAGACTGTTGGGGAGCGGTGGGCCGTTGCGTTGCGCGGGTGCAGCGGGGCTGGGTGGGAGAGGGAGAGAGTAGGCAGTCGCCATTCTCAAAGTGCCCACTCCTTGTGCCCCTTGTCCTGTCCCGTTTCAACTTCTTTTTTTGTATCTCGCTACAATCTGTTAATGGAATGAAGTGGTGGTAGTAAGTTGCGCTCACTCCTTGTCTGTCATGTCGTTCACGTTTTCCTCTCCTCTTGCCTTTTTCGCGCCACTATAATTCTCCTTTTTCGGGAGAGAATTGTTCTGCACAGGGGAAGGGGATGCGGATGCATGTGCAGTTTTTTTTGTGCCGTCTTTTTACCCGTTTTGTTTTTTCGCAAACCAAGAATTTTATCTCATTCAAACTGAGCGCGGTACAGTTCGTCCTACTCTCTTGCACACGCTCCATCTATTTGTCCAGCTTGCTCGCAGGCACTGTGTGCTGCCGGTGCAATCACCCAGACCAATGAAGCTGTTTTGCCGACAGTAACGAGCGGGGAGAGAGAGAAGGGCGGGGGGATTGAGCACACGTTGCCAAGCATACCAACCAACTCTGATGAATGGGTATGAAAAAACACCACGCATAGAATAGCTTGGGGTCGAACAA